GATATTGAACCGAGATTTTAAATATTCGCAATTTAATTTAAATCTCTCATTTATTACAATAAATATATATATATATAATATTTATAATTTTTCATTGACTACAAATCCTCATTTTGTTGATTTTTAAAATCTCATGCGAGAGTTGTAATTTTATAAAAAATTTTATTTTAATCAATGAAAGGTTCTTAAAAATATTAAAATTTATAAATTTCATATTTATATCAAATAAAATAAAATTTGACAAATCGATGAGTTGAAGTTTTAATTTGATAATTTCATTAATTTTGACATATATATAATTCCCAAATCAAAAATTGCGAAATGAATTTTTGTGGGCTCTATTTCACCAGCGAGTCTTATTGGACTGAAGTTTGAAATTTTTGCATATAATTTCTAATATCTCATCTGGTGGGGTAGACCCAAACCGAAAGTGTACTCCACGTGTCAATTGAATTTGTTTTTGGATAAAAGTTGATTCAGCCCATCACTTTTTAAATTGCATTTCATTATTATTTCAATTTTAATTTAAGAGTCAAATCACGATAACAACGATTATGACACAAAAAAAATAACTTTTTATATATTTCAACTAATAATGTTTAAAAAAATAAAATATCTTTTACGGAGATCAACTTTAAATAAAAAAACTATTATTTATATTAATTTTATTATTAAAAAATATAATAAATTTTATGTATCACGATAATATGACTTTAAAATTAAAATTGAATCAAATTAAATATAATTAAAAACAATTAAAGTGCTAATTTTAATTTTTTTTTTGGTTTTCTACTTCCTAATATATAAATGTCTCAAGAACTACTTCCTAATATATAAATGTCTCAAGAACAACATTTTTATCATACATGCTAAGGCACAGTTTAATAGTAAATACATATATAATCCGATAATATATTTAAGTTTGAATTCTCTATCAATATTAAAAAAAAAAAAAATGAAAACTTCCAAATTTTTTTATTCATTATATCTTTAAACTTTTGCTTCTATCAATAACAATAACAATTTGTTTTATGCTTAATTAGCTCATTCGTTAGGCCATGTTTGATTTTAAACTATGGCTTCTGTTAGTAACAATAACAATTTGTTTTATGCCAACTCATTTATCAGGTCACGTTTGGTTTAATGTAATAAACTATATAATGGAATAAAAATTGCATTATACAGTTGATTGGATATTTTAATAGATTTTTTGATTGTGATGTTTGGATGTTTTTTTTTTTTTTTTTATTTTTTTTTTTTACTCTGTAATGTAATGGATATTAACAAAAAAATTGGATTATTTTTTTTTTTTTTACTCTGTAATGTAATGGATATTACAATTGGATTACCATTATTTAAAATAATATAACAGTAATTCCATCCAAAACCTAAGTAATTGCCACTAAATATCTCTCAAAAGTTTAATTCTAATCAAATTAACCTCAAATTCTACTATTCACCACCACCACCGTCACAAATGCCGCATCACCGCCACCTCAACGGCCACTTAAAGGTGTCTCCTTATCTCTATATTTCTTCCTTTTTATTATTTTATTATTGCTTTTTTGGTCGCATTGGTCACTTTCAAAGGTTTCTCCTTATCTCTATATTGATGGAGAGGATAACTAAAGAAAAAAAAAAAAAAGAGCTCGATTTTAAATTTTCTCTAGTCTTTATGCAGAGCGTTTTTGTACAACATAAAAATTCACACTTTATTATTTTTTTTCCCTCATATTGAAAATTCTCAAAGAAGATGGTCTTGAATTGTATACACACAAATATATATACTTTTTTTTTTTTTTATGAAAGGTCAATATAGAAATTATTTCATCTTTGAAGACAATTAAAAAAAATTTATTACCTCTTTCAAAAAAAAAATTATTACAACATTCAACATTTTATTTTATTTTATTTTTTCAAGGATAGCGAGAGATTTTAGATTTAAGTTTTTCAAAAAAAAATTAATATGAATATATTTTAATATTTAATATATAGTATTAATTAGAAAAATTAATTTAACTAGTAAATTGATTTGATTTTTAAATATAAATAATTACTCACTATTCCATTAAGTTAGATAATTTTTTATTTTTCTTATTTTATTTATATTATATTTTTAGAAAATCAAAATAGTATAATTACTACGGTCATTCCGTTAAATTTGACAGTTTTTTACTTCACGCAAAAAAAAAATTGAATCAATTTAATTCTAGAAAAAAAATAAAAGTAATAGACTAGATTATTTTTTAATTAATGCTCAAGTAAAGTTTAATAAAAATTTTTAATAGGTGCAATTTAAAAAATGTCATATACAAGATTTCAATTTTAACAAAATGTCAAAAAAGAGAAACGAGATATTTCAATTTTCAAGTTTGATAAAAAGGTCCAGAGTTTCCTTTTATCCCACGTTTCAGCTAGGGTTAGTGCTAAGCTTAAGCTCGGTTAGCTAGAGTTGGTGTAGAATGCAGATATTTGTTGGTCGTTGACAATTGAATTGAATTAATAGCGTCAAGTTATGGATTGTTTTCACTTGAAAATCATTAGGTGCAGTTTAAATGGAAATGTCATAAACACTTGGTTTGGGCCCATCAGATTCTTTCCTTCTTCCTTGCGTCAATACAACGCTACCTCTTTTTGATTTGATTTTTCTAAACTCGTCCTTTCTTAAAAAAAAAAAAAATTAATAAAATATTTCATACACTCCATTCATTTCATTAAATTTAATATTTTCAAAAAAAAAAATCATTAAATTTACCATTTTTAATTTTACATAAGAATTTAAATATAATTAAATACATTAATTCTAAAAAATAAAAATAATCAACTAAAGAAATACTGAAATAAAGTTTAGTTGAGATATATAAACTAAGATATCCTCCATTCAATTTGATAGTTTTTAATTTCATTTTTATTAGATGATGTTTTTAAAAAATTTTCGATGTTCCATTTTTTCAAAAGTTTTTGACTTTCCACTAAAATTAAGAGAATGATTAAATCACATCAATTCTAAAAAAATAAAGATAATTGACTAAATCACCATTTAATTAATGTTTATTCAATTGAAACAAAGGTTATTGCAGAGATCTAGGCAAAGATAAAGTTGTAGTAAAAACAATTGATGCTACTTTGATTTTCTAAGAGTCTCATCAAAGTAGAAAAAAATCCAAAACCGTCAAATTTAACATAATTGATGGAGTAATAATTATTTTTTCTAACTTTATTTTATCTAAAACAATAGTTACACCGATTTGGCAAATATTAAAAAAAAAAAAAGAGAATTATCCATGTTGTATAATCCATAATATTATTTTGACATTGAACTCCATATATATATAAAAAATAGATATTGTATTAAATGCCAGTTTTTAAACTTATTCTCATTTACTATATACATTTACTTTAAAAAATTTGAATTATCGTCATTTACAGTATATTGCGCTTCTTTTTTTTTTTTTTTTTTTTTTTTTTTTTTTAAAAAAAGCAGAATTATCTCATGTGTACTAATCCATAATTATTTATTTTGACAGATTGAATCTCGCATATATATATAAAAAATAGATATTAGGTATTAAATGCCAGTTTTTTAAAAACTGTATTCTATTTACTATAAGCATTTACTTAAAAAATTGAATTATCGTCATTTACAGTATATTGCGGCTTTCTTTTTTTTTTTTTTTTTTTTTTTTTTTTTTTTTTTTTTTCCAGTTTTGTGAGCATGTGTGTGCTCGCTGTTTTTTTGTTGTAGGTGCTCTTACTAAAACAAAATGATTGTTTGGGCTGTTTCCTTTTTTTTTTGTGTTTTCTGTTTTTTATCGTTTTTTTTCTTTGTCTTGCTTTTTTTTGCTTTTTTTTTTTTTTTTTTTTTTTTTTTTTTTTTCCGTTTTGTAGCATGTTGTGCTCCTTTTTTTTTGTTAGGTGCTACAAAACAAAATGTTTTGGTGTTTCCTTTTTTTTGTGTTTTCTTTTTTATCGTTTTTTCTTTTTTTCTTTTTTTCATTTTCTCTCTTTTCGTGTTGCCAATAATAGAATGATTTTTCAGTCTTTGAAATTTATTCACCCGTCATTATATTTTTTTAATTATTTATGCTCTTCCATAATTGCGTTTTTCGATTCACAAAGTTTGTTAATTTCGTTGCGTTTTTCGATTCACAAGGTTTGTTGATTTCGTTTTTTTGATTATGTGTTTCAATTATCATTTTTTTATTGTAAATAATTATTTTCATTTTTTATTGTACCGTTTCTCTTTTGCGATTTAGTTTTTGCATAAGCATACCAATGACTTAATACTCATTAAAAACTGTTACCACCATAAATGTAATTTATGCTTTGAAGAGACAAGATAAGACTTCGATTCTGTTTAGATTGATATTGATACTGTGTATATATATATACTGTATTTAATTGGTTTTACTTATGTATATATACTGTGTATATCTTGTATATATTATATATATATTTTATATATACCGTATATATTTCGTATGTTGTATACACTCTATATATATATCGTATTTACCGTTATTGTCGCTGTTGGCGTTGCTGTTTCTCTTGTACCCTTTTAATTTTTTAAGCGATAACAAAACATAATATTTCGGTGTTTTCTTTTTTTTCAGCATTTCTTTTTTTTTACAGTGTTTCTTTTTTGCCGTTTCTCTTTTGTAAGATTATTTTTGATACTATTTAAATTCTTTTGACCAAAATTATTATTATTTTAATTTGTATTCTTTTCTGGCATTTTATTAAAATTAAAACCTTATATATCACATTTGTTAAATTGCCCCTGAATATTTTTGAATTTGTTATGGTCAAGCCAAGCCGGACTTGGATCAAATTAAAAAATTACAATTTGATGAAGTCTGATCCGAATTCGACCCAAACCCCACCCAAACGATCAGTTTTAGAATTTAGGGGGGTAAAAAAAAGAACTTTTAGAAATATATTTTTCAGCGTGTGAGAACTTTCTATTAAGGCGCAAGTCGAAACGGGGAACAAAAAATAAGTCGTTACACAAGACATCCCGCTTGGCTTAAGCGAAGCCGAGTCTCACCACAAACGCTCAGGCTCAGAGAATGAGAAGAATACCAGTCAAATACTACATTCTCCTCTTACTCTGACTTATCCGTACACGACGTGGGACTATTTAATTGGACCACGTATCCTTCACACCCAAATTTCCAAGTACAAGAAACCCACGCTATCAAAACCTCCCCAAAGAGAGAGCCACCTAATAAGAAAGAAGGAACTGAACATACCCGCACACAGCCCCTCGTTATTGGAGGAGACACACTTCTCTATATTCTCTCCTCCTTTCTCGTCCTCTTTCTTCTATTCCTGTTCTCTTAAAACTATCGCGTAAAAGGAGAAAATGGTGAGTCTTTAAGCTCTCAATTTTTCTTTATTTAGGGTTTTGATATTATTCCAATAGTTTTGTTATTTTGTTGGTTCGTATTTCCTAGTTTCATCACGGACTATTTACTTCGGTTATTTGATAGAGCTTGATCATAAAGAATCAGAGTTTGATCCGTGATCGATCTGGTTCTAGATGTTTAAATCTGGCTTGGTTTGTGAAATCTTTGTGCATTTATAGTTCATCAACTGTTTGCAGATCTGATTTGATCTTGTTGTGATATTAAATCTATAAGGCGTGAGTGGTTTGTTATAATCCGAGGAGTGCAATGGATCTTAGGTTAGGTAATTGTTTTTTAGTTGTATCTATTTTTGCCGATTAGCCATTTAGTGTGGTTGGTTGGCTTTTGGAATTCATGGGAAATGTGATTGTGATAGTGCTTTTTGGTAGTATCTTTATTTTGGATTATGTTATATATATATATATATATATATGGTAGTATCTTTATTACTTGGATTTATTGTTAATATATATAGTATATATTATATATTATATATTTCCTGTATTTGTTTGTTTCGCGCTGTCGGCTTGCAAAGCATTCATGGATTGTGTTTGGCCGTGATTAGGAATCCAAAGAAATGGAAGGCCATGGAAAATATTATTGTGGATCAATTCGAGATTAAAATAGTATGGTACAACTTCGAGAAGTCGTGATTTAGTCAACCTTGTTTTGATTCTGTATTTTCTACTCATTTTGTACTCAAATGAAGGGTAAATATATGGTTTTGATGAAATTTTAAGATTATTTTCCTGCTATATATATATATATATATATATATTTCCTGATATTTGTTTGTTTCGGTGTCGGCTTGCAAAGCATTCATGGATTGTGTTTGGCTGATTAGGAATCCAAAGAAATGGAAGGCAATGGAAAATATTATGTGGATCACAATCGAGATAAAATAGTATGGTCAACTTGAGAAGTCGTGAATTTTAGTCAACTTGTTTTGATTCTGTATTTTTCTATCATTTTGTAATCAAATGAAGGGTAAATATATGGTTTGATGAATTTTAAGATTATTTTCCTGCATTGAAAGAGGCCTAAAGCATTAAACTAGAAAGCACTCAAAGGCATTTAGATCTTACAATTATTAATAAGCTGAACCGAATGATGAAGAATTTTGAGAGAAGTTGACTCCAAGCTTTAAACCATGGGCATGCTTAGTTTAATCAGGAGAAGGCATCTTAATGGTATTCCTGTTATACTTTAAAAAATTTAGAAAATGCTAAACTGTAGGTGAACACTTAACTATCTTATAGGCCAAACTGCCTAAGCATTAGCTAATTCTTACAAAACTATGTGAGCTTTAGTAAGCTGTAAAAATTCACTATGTGAACTATCCATGATGAGCCTAATCCCGAAGAAGATCCCAGCCACTTTATTTTTAAACATCAAATATAAACTCATGAAAAATCATTCATTCATCCCATCCTAGATCATCCAGTTGTGATGCTAAATAGAACAAGCAAATCTATGCAAATAATGTATTGAAGTTGTGTTCAGGTTAATGCAATTGCAATATTGGAGTTAAGTTTATGTTTGATTTTGCTCATTTTTTGTGATTGCTTGTTTTCTCTTCTTGGAGCATTTTATAAGCATAATGGCTTTCCAATTCTTAATGTTAATACTTCAATATCTTTAGTCTACGCACATCTTGTTGATTTCTGGAATTGCATTGATTACTTGATCTTGATGATGATTTTATGTATTTCAGGCCAACGCTGCATCTGGCATGGCAGTCCATGATGACTGCAAATTGAAGTTCTTGGAGCTCAAGGCGAAAAGAACTTACCGCTTCATAGTTTTTAAAATTGAGGAGAAGCAAAAGCAAGTCATTGTGGAGAAGGTTGGTGAGCCTAACCAAAGCTATGAGGATTTTACTGCAAGCCTTCCTGCTGATGAGTGCCGATATGCTGTTTATGATTTTGATTTTGTCACGGCAGAGAATTGCCAGAAGAGCAGGATTTTCTTCATTGCATGGTAATTATAAACTGGATAATCTTGTGTTATATTACTGGTACTTCTGTTTGATTGTTACTCATGGTATTCCACTACCATTATATTAAGGTCTCCTGATGCATCAAGAGTCAGAAGCAAGATGATTTATGCTAGCTCGAAAGACAGATTTAAGAGAGAGCTTGATGGAATTCAGGTAGAATTGCAGGCAACCGACCCTACTGAGATGGGGCTCGATGTCTTTAGAAGTCGTGCCAACTGAATGTGAACCGTATGCCTTTGAGCAAGGAGTTCCTCCATTCAGACTCTTCTTTACTGGAGTGAAATGTTTATAGTTTGTGGGATGGTGAACGTGGACAATTGTGATATCGGTTTCTGAGTTTTTCCATAAAGTCATTTTATTCATCTGGAGCATGAATCTATGGTTTCTGGTATATCTTGTGATTTGTTATTTATAGAACTTATGTGTGTCATCTTGTAGTCTTATGTCTACTACAAGCTAATATGTAACTGTTTGCAAGAGGCTAGACGGCACAGTTAGTTCATTTTCAAGTTGACCCTCTGCCTCTAGTCGTTTACTTTTGGAATGCTAATTGGCATGCTTTTATTAGTTTTATTGTCTTGTCTTTTGTTTTTGCATGACTGATAATGATATAGCAAGAGAACCAATACAGTTTTCTGGCAGATTGTTCATGATTTGTTCTGATTTTTTGTTAGGTTTCCTTTTTGTGTTACAGTAAAGGGTTATCTACTTGTGTAGGAACACTAGTACATTTACTCTTATTTATACTAAAGACTATACTCATTTGTTTATCCCCCACACAAGGACAAACAAATAGTATCGTCCTCTAATAGAGTTATGGCAAATAACTAAAATTGTTACTTGTGTTATTATCTTCCCCCAAAAAACAAACCATTTCCTTTTTCTTCTGTTGAATACGTCAATACCCATCCAAGTCTGAGCAAAAGCAAAACTCAGAACAAATGATGCATCAGCAGAAACTCTCACATGATCGACCATACAAAAAGACGAGACTTTCATATAGATATTTAGGGAGCATATCAAGCAGATAAGAACCTCGTATTCAACCAATTCTTCCAAAATATCATTACTACTAGCACTGAAGTCACCACAGCCCTTCTCAACTTTCCCACACGTCCAATTCCATTGGACTCCAATTTAATAAAACCTTTTTCTTTGTTGCCTATGACCATTTTCATTCATTTAAAGGTTGAAACCAAACTTTTTTTGACCATTTTCTTTCATTTAAAGATCGAAATCAAAATATTGGTGTGAACTTTACTATTGTTGAGTGAGTTGGTGAAATAATCAAAATGCGATATAAATTGTGGATTGAGAAAAGATGAATTTTATTGTGAAATGAATAAAGAAGATAAAAAGTACAAAAAAGGGATAATTTTGTCCAAACTTCAAAAAAAATTTCACCACCATACTTTTTCAATTTACTTGCATATTAAAAAGGCCAAACGATATTTTTCATTCTGAACTTTTTAAATTATTTCAATTTCACTATAAAATGACTTTTGTTTCCAATTGTGTTTAAAATAGCAAATCTCACTATTTAACTAATAAAATGGTGAATTGAAGTTAGTATATGTTTATTGTTATTCGGTGGTAGAGAAAAGCTAGTTTATTAGTAATAGAACGCGAGTCATAGTTATTGAGAATGTCTTCATTTTCAAAAATGACAGACAATAAACAAGAGATTAGAGAATTAATTGTTGATGACATTGAGATGATTGCAAGAATGACACTAACCCTCCTATCGGAGGGAAGGGCTTTTTATAGGCAAATATTATAGCTACTGGGAGAGAGATTTGATGGAGTGATATTAAGAGAGATAAAAATGAATTCAAACTAAATTGGCTCAATTTAAATTCGATTATTCTAAAGTAAATCTTATTTTTTTAGGCTTAAATTAATTCAGTTAGCTATATATAATAATCAAGCTAAAATCGAAACCTAACAATTTTAGTATCTAGACCGGTCGGCAACTAAATTTCTAAATCAACTATTTGAATCTGACCAAAATGAGTTGGTTTAGTTCAATTTTCGATTAAAAATCAAGTATTGCTCATCCTAAACTTGATCTAACACAGTTATATTTGCTTTCGCTAATATTTTTTTTACTCCATTATTGTATCTATTATTGGATTTAAAACTTGAGTAAACCCAAGTTTCTTCCCTTTGCTGGAATAAATAAACCTGATGGTGTCTAATGTCAGTTTCAAAAACAATTTTTTAGAAATTCAGAGACTCAAATCCAAATAATTCGTGGTGAAATAGAAAAAAAAAAAGAATATATATAAAGATATAGAGTATGTAAGTAACGTTTGAAAATTGAAATTTTAATTTATGCATTAATTATAATCGAGGGATCAAACAGTAATTTATTCATTCTAAATGTCGTGTGGTTGTTGGACAATGTAGAAAAATTAGAATTGGTTAGAGAACCGCAATACCGAACTCAAGTACTCCCCAAAGCGACATACCGTGCGGTGTCGTTGTGAGTTTCGTACGGCCATTATTGTCGCAGCGGCAAGCTTGTAACGATCTTCAACATAGAAGTATCTACCTCTTTCTCCTCTCAAACCCGTCTCTTCCCATTTTCTTCTCTATACTCACTTTGTACTCACAAGTTCCAGGGAAAAGGAAAACAAATTTTCTCATCTCACCTTCTCCTAATTTTGCATATCACATGTTTGTTAAATAGCCTCAATGGCTTTCTCTTCATGTCTCAAATGCTACCCATGCTTTCCTTCTCACCCACACCAACCTTTCTCTTTCTCTTACAAACCCATCTCCAATTCCACTCTCTCCTTCGCGTCCGCACAAAACCACGCGCCACTCGCCACTCAGTCCAATTCAGTACCTCTCTCTCCCAATTTCACTTCTTCTCAGCTCCTCGACTCTCTCCGTCGCCAGAATGACGAAACCGCAGCTCTTCGCTTGTTCGATTGGGCATCCAAGCAGCCTCATTTTAAGCCTGATGTATCAGTTTACGAGGAAATCCTTCGTAAACTTGGCAAAGTTGGTTCAATTAATTCGATGAAGGAAATCTTGCAAGAGATGAAGGTTTCTGGTTGCGAGATTGATAGAGGTATTTGTTTGATTTTTATTGAGAGTTACGCTAAATTTGAATTATTCGATGAAATTCTTGGCGTTGTTGATATGATGGAAGTAGAATTAGGGTTAGAACCAGATACGCTTCTTTTCAATTACTTGTTAAATGTTCTTGTTGATGGTGAAAAGCTAAAATTAGTTGAAATTGCGCATTCTAACATGGTTAGTAGAGGAATTGAGCCAGACGTTTCTACTTTTAATATATTGATAAAGGCTTTGTGTAGAGCACATCAAATTAGGCCTGCCATTTTAATGATGGAGGAAATGCCAAGCTATGGTTTGGCCCCAGATGAGAAAACTTTCACTACTCTAATGCAGGGTTATATTGAGGAAGGAAATTTAGATGGTGCAATTAGAGTAAGAGAGCAAATGGTGGAAAATGGGTGTCCTGCAACCAATGTGACAGTGAATGTTTTGGTTCATGGGTTTTGTAAAGAAGGAAAAATTGAGGAAGCATTAAAGTTTATAGATGAGATGTCTAATGAAGGTTTCTTTCCTGATAAGTTCACTTTTAATACAGTGGTAAATGGGTTGTGTAAGGCTGGACATGCTAAGCATGCTTTAGAAGTCATGGACATGATGCTTCAAGAGGGATTTGATCCAGATGTATATACATATAATACTTTGATTTCTGGGTTGTGTAAATTGGGTGAAGTTGAAGAGGCAGTGGAGATTCTCGATCAAATGATTTTGAGGGATTGTTCGCCGAATACAGTCACTTACAACACAATGATTAGTACATTGTGTAAAGAAAATCAAGTAGAAGAGGCTACTAAACTTGCTCGTGTTTTGACTAGTAAGGGGATTTTACCTGATGTTTGTACATTTAATTCTCTCATACAAGGTCTTTGTTTGTCTCGAAATCAAACTGTTGCTATGGAGCTGTATGAGGAGATGAAGAGTAAAGGATGCCAGCCTGATGAGTTTACCTACAATATGTTGATTGACAGCCTCTGTTGTAGAGGGAAACTACAGGAAGCTTTGAGCTTGCTTAAGGAAATGGAATCAAGTGGATGTGCACGAAATGTGATAACATATAACACATTGATTGATGGGTTTTCTAAAAACAATAGAATCGACGAAGCGGAGGAGATCTTTGACCAGATGGAACTTCAAGGAGTTTCGAGAAACTCTGTTACCTACAATACCCTTATAGATGGCCTTTGTAAGAGCAGGAGGGTGGAGGAGGCTGCTCAACTAATGGACCAGATGATAATGGAAGGATTGAAGCCTGACAAATTCACTTACAATTCTATGCTTACATACTTCTGCAGGGCAGGAGATATAAAAAAAGCAGCTGATATTGTCCAAACTATGACTACCAATGGATGTGAACCTGACATTGTCACATATGGGACCCTGATCAGCGGGCTATGCAAGGCAGGTAGACTTGAAGTAGCAAATAGGCTCCTTAGATCAATTCAAATGAAAGGTATGACTTTGACTCCCCATGCTTACAATCCTGTAATTCAAGCACTATTTAGAAGGAAAAGAACAAAGGAAGCAATGAGACTTTTTAGAGAAATGGAGGAGAAAGGTGCTTCTCCAGATGCTATCACATACAAGGTTGTTTTCCGTGGACTGTCTAAATCTGGAGGACCAATCTCTGAAGCTGTTAATTTTGTGATAGAGATGACTGGAAAAGGATTTTTACCAGAATTTTCTTCATTTTATATGCTCGCTGAGGGACTCTCAGCTTTGGCCATGGAGGATACGCTAATTAAGCTTCTTAACTTGGTCATGGAGCAAGCAAACTTTTCAGAAAATGAAGTTACCATGATAAGAGGTTTTGTCAAAATTCGGAAGTTCCAGGATGCATTGGCCACACTTGGAGGTATCCTCGACAGACGAAAGCCCAAGAAGTCTTACAGATGAAGAGAATTTTGATATGCTACTGTTTAAGATGGTTATAAAGATAGATGACCTACCTACTTATAAGAAGTTGGAACCTGAATGGGTTGCTAGTTTTTGATGAATACCTCGTAGAGCCATTGTAAACAAGTGTGTACTGTTAATTGTAAACAAGTGTGTATTATATTTCTAAATTGAATATTTACCATGATGGAATTAATCTCTGGACTGAGCTGATGCACTGGAAGCTCAAGAGCGTAGGAATTGCTCTGATTACTGGAACAATTTATTATGGTGAATCTTCTGTTCTATTGCGCACCTGATATTAAATTTTGTCCCAACATCTTTCCTGATTCCTATCATCCTATAACATATTGAACCATCTTGTCTAGTTCTACTGTTCTAGTGTCCGTGATTGCAAAACAGTGATATACCAAAATAATTAATTGTTTCAAAGTCACAAAATTAGGATGGAGTAATGAAGTAGCAATTTTTTTTTTTTGGTTATTCCTGATAGATTTTACTTCATAATTTTCAGATTTTAACTCAAAACAGAGAATTGAAAGGTGAATTTTCTATTCTTGGCAATTTACTTACAATTATTTTTAGAATAAAACATCTAATATTTTATTATTGACGTGACACTTTTTGACTTTTTTTTAACTTAGATAATACTACTTTTTAGTTAGTTTTAAGATTTTTTTTTTACTTTCTTATTATAGTTAGATAACACTTTTAGAAATATTTTAACTTTATCCTTATCTAAAAATATTCTCTCTTTTAATTACACAACGAATAAAAATGAATCATTCTCAAAAAAAGAATAAAAATTAATTAATTTAATCATTCTTATTTTTTCTAAAATTAATTTGGCATCAAAATTAAACATTTTTATTGTAAAATTATTAACTTTTGGACATTTAAGTGAGTGGTAGCACAGAAATCTCGTTCTACCTATGGAAATTAACTTATTAACCGAAACATCTGCAGCAAGCAGTCAAGCTTAGACGGACATATCTCTCCTTCTTGCACTATCATCAGGCAATAAGCAAATTCAATTAAATTGATTAAACAAATTGTCTCTGTCGTCTTCTGCTCCAATCGTCGTTTGTCTCATTCTCACTTTTCTTCGATATATCCGACGACTTTTTGCTCTTCGTTTGATTCCCGATTTAACGTACGAAAAATAAGGAATCAGGAACTCAAGATTCCCCCCCTTTTCTTATATTTTCTCGGGTACCAAACAGACGCAGTAATTTTCCGGCTAAATTAATTAATCCTAACCCCAAGCTCTTCCGTATGTCTTGTAGTTGTAGTTCTCAAGGTTCCAGCCGGCTTTGACCTCACTCTCTTGTACTCTTGTCACTCATTTCTAATTCTAGGGTTGTGCATAGATTCTGTGGCTTCTTTTTTAAATACGAACTAATTATAAGCGATAAAGATTCTGTAACTGATTGAATTGAGAACTCGAGGAAGCGACGATGGCCTCTGACTCTGTGGATGCCAGAGATGAAGAGGCGCCTTTGGTTGTTGATAGTTTGCCGATTCACAAACTGAAAAATCATACTAAAGACATTCATATTCTTAGCTTTGGGTTTTTGCTCATCTTCCTTGCTTATGGAGCTGCTCAGAATCTGGAGACTACAGTCAATACTGTGAGTTGCTGCATTAATGGCGTTTGTTGAATTGCAGACTACACTTGTATGAATTGAATTGTTTGGATTCTTTTTTTTCCTACTAAAATTCATTAAGCACTTGAGTTATATTTGATTTCTGTTTCAGGAGCAAGATATGGGCACAATTTCGTTAGGGATATTGTACCTGTCTTTCACATTTTTCTCTTTATTTGCCTCTTTGGTAGTTCGTTTGCTGGGGTCAAAGAATGCTGTGGTTCTTGGGACGACTGGTTATTGGTTGTTCATTGCTGCAAATATAAAACCAACATGGTAATCACAACGATTTTCTTTTTGCACCCAATTATTTCTTTTTCCATTTGTAAACTGAAATAGCTGATACATCATGTCTTAAAAGTTTCCCTGAAGTAGCCTTATTGGCTAGTAGCTCAAATACTTAACATCCTAATATAATCTAAATCTTTTGATGATAGTTTTCAATTGCTTTGGAAAAGTTTGATAAATATGGTTTAAAGTAATTTGTTTAGTTTGATTTATCATTAAATTTGTGTGTCAATTGGGATCTGTTTATGGGTGTTTACAACTAAACATTAAAAGAGATAAATAAATTATGCTCTGGTAATGGAAATAGTCAGCTTAATACATGATAAAATCTTTCTGTTTATGGGTGTTTACAACTAAACATTAAAAGAGATAAATAAATTATGCTCTGGTAATGGAAATAGTCAGCTTAATACATGATAAAATCTTTCTGTTTATGGGTGTTTACAACTAAACATTAAAAGAGATAAATAAATTATGCTCTGGTAATGGAAATAGTCAGCTTAATACATGATAAAATCTTTCTGTTTATGGGTGTTTACAACTAAACATTAAAAGAGATAAATAAATTATGCTCTGGTAATGGAAATAGTCAGCTTAATACATGATAAAATCTTTCTGTTTATGGGTGTTTACAACTAAACATTAAAAGAGATAAATAAATTATGCTCTGGTAATGGAAATAGTCAGCTTAATACATGATAAAATCTTTCTGTTTATGGGTGTTTACAACTAAACATTAAAAGAGATAAATAAATTATGCTCTGGTAATGGAAATAGTCAGCTTAATACATGATAAAATCTTTCTGCTTCCACAGCATGCAGACACGCAAGAGATTACAACTTACATGAAGCAACTGTTATTGGTAGCTTCAATGGAGAATTTTGGGGAATGTTTGCAAGCCACCAGGTGCTTATTTTTTATGAAAATATCAAGTTGCCTTCTATTTAGACAGCTTAAATTTAATGACCATATTTCAATTTGCTAAAATTTGTTCTCAAGATCTGATTTTATTTTTCTCGCCTAATTTTTCAGTTTGTTGGAAATCTCATCTCACTGGCTATTCTGAGAGATGGAGGGGTATGCGCTGCTCTTTGATATACTATCCTTTCATTTTCTCAGATGATCTATATTTCTATGTTCATTATTTGTTATATTTACCTTGTGAAACACAGTCAGTTACCTTTGAATGTAATAATTCCAATGGATTTGTTTGTTTATTTTGTCTTTTTTTTTCCAGTTAGATACAAAAACCAGTCTAAAGAAAGAAACCTGAATCACATAGATATGTACCTAGTTTTGACTTTTGAGGTTGAATTATCTTGTCTGCCCCTTGACGGGGCTATCACAAAAGATTCAAGTACATGACTAAGTGAATCTTTGTTTTGATACTGTTAAAAAAAAAAATGATGCGACTAGGAAGATGTTCACCTGCTGGTGGGGTTACAAAACAAGTTATGTTACATAATTTACTTTATGCAATGTTGCTGTCTTAATGTATATGGAGGATTATAAATTCTTCTGATACAATTCTCTTTTGCTTAATTCAGGAGGGCAGTACCAATGGCACAACATTATTGTTCGTTGTGTTTCTTTGCATTATGACCTTCGGAATGATACTAATGTGCTTCTTAAGTAAAAGGGATTCCAAAGAAGATGAAGGACTAGAAAACTCTTCTTTCAGTTTATATTCTTCTCTGAAATCACTCTCAAAGTCAATTATCATAGCTTTGCTTGACATTCGGATGCTATTGATCATTCCCCTGATCGCATATTCAGGGTTACAACAAGCATTTGTATGGTAATTACTCGTGAAATGTGTAATTTTTCTCTTCTAGAACGGCTGAGTAGGATATCTTTTTTCTCTTTTATTTATTTTATTTTTACCCCTTTTGGTTGTCTATTTCTCCACTAATCACCAAACAAGTTCTCCATTTTAGGGCTGAATTCACCAAGGATATTGCGACTCCAGCACTCGGTGTATCTGGTGTAGGTGGTGCAATGGCAGTGTATGGTGCCTTTGATGCTATTGTAAGTATGAAATGTATATAGTTTCTCACCATCATTGTTGACTAAGTTGCAATGGTAGCTTGGTTCTTTACTATTCATTGAATTTGTAAATAGCATATCCTTTTCAGATCTCCTTATTTCGGTGAAAATAGTAAAAAAAGCTAAGAACTTCCTCCCCAGTATGCTCATGTGAAAGAGAAACATCCTTTCCATCGCACTTTTCTTGTTTAGGCAATTATTATACTTGTTTGAAGCATTTATTGTAACCATATTGTCACGCAGCTTCTTTATGTGGATAACCAATCTGTACCAGAATGCAAGGAAAAATTTCTCTGCTTTCTTAACCCTATTTGGTCATCAATTCAGATATTATTTTGAGGCAGAATCAGAGCCCGCCTTTGATAATCAAATTAGAGCTTTCCTTAGTGGTTACCAGGAACATGTTCAAATGCTCAGTTTTCAGTGTCAAGAGGAATTGAAATTCTAATATTCCATGCTTGCTAGAATTCAGAATCCTAGACAAATCAATTTCAATTAGTCATCTTATTTCATCGAATGATATGGTTGTTTAATCTGAGCTTGTTCTTTCAACTTGTCTTAGTGTTCACTTACTGCTGGTCGACTTACTTCCGGTCTTCAGTCAATCACCTGGATAGTATCTGCTGGAGCTTTTCTTCATGCTATTGTATTTCTCTGGATTCTTCTGAAATACAGGTTTGGCATTTGTTTTTTTAGTCTTTTAACACTAACGATTTTTGGAACCAAAAGGCTTTCTCTAAAGTTTTTCCTGGCAACATTTTCCAGTTTAACCAGTGGAATAATAGGCGTCATATACCCACTTATCATGGCAGCTTTGTTGGGTATTGGTGATGGAGTACTCAACACACAGCTTAGCGCTTTGCTCGGGATACTTTTTAAGCATGATACGGTATTGATCCATCTTTCCTATTATTATTTCATTTTTGGTTTGATTTGTGCACTGGACTGTTGGATCTGGATCATATCATTAGGCTCTATATATGAGACTGGATCGACAGATGATATTTTGCATCGTCATGCACTGGTATCAGTAACCTCGTGCTTCTCTTTTATGTCATCTACACAGAACATGTCTCATTAACCTCATGGCTCTACTTATAGATAGACTTGATTTTTATGTTCCAAAGAATAAAGAGCTTCTTTTACTTGAATTCTGTTTCTTGCATCATAGGCAGTTAATAATTTCAAATTTCTCCCATTAATTTTGGAACAGGAAGGAGCATTTGCGCAACTCAAGGTGTGGCAAAGTGCTTCCATTGCATTTGTGTTCTTTGCCAACCCCTACATCTCCTTGCATGCAATGGTGCTGATTATGTTTGCAGCATTGTGTGTTTCAGTGGTGGGGTTTCTGTTTTTGACTCTCCATGTAGAAAAAGCTTTCTCCTCTCCAAGTTCATGATATATTATTTAGCAACCACTGTTTGATTCCTGTAAAATCTGTCTAAATTGAAAAAGAAATGTTCTTCTCAAAATTTGTCTAGACACACACACATATATACGAACGCATTTCCATTAATTTTAATACTTTTTGACTTTTTTTTTTGTTCACCTGGATAACACTTTTAGGAAATTAAAATAGTGTTAATTATTTTATTCTAACTTTACTCGTGCGGTGAAAACTGTCTGTGGTTCGGTGAAAACTCTGTCTCTCTTTAGTTAAAAGAATCAAAAGGCCTTTGTTTTTCTATATTGAGCTAATTTCTTCGATTTCTTAAATTTTGTGAAAAGTCAAAAAAATATTTTCTTAATTTTCGTTAAAAAAGTTAATCGAACGGAACGTAATTTTATTTAAAAAAATTACAAGAGCTTTTTCCTTTGACACGTGTACAGAACAAGACAATTGACGCGAGAGTGGTTCTCCTGTCCAACAACCGAATTCGTCATTGTTTTTCTATTGCCATGTTTTTTCCTAACTAGAGTAGTTGAGATTAGGTTAGTTCCTCTTCTCCTCCAATTATATAAGAAAACCATTTTTACATTCTAACGAACAAGCCTTCTAATAATAACTTCTTAAAAAATGTTCTCCACTCTCTTTACCTCTTTGCGCCACCGGGTTTTAATACGGTGGCCGCTGCTACTGTATGCTGCCAAATGGACTGCGCTTTTGACGGCAACGGTGGCCGTGGCTTCTTTCTCGCCTGAAATGGCATTTGTCTCCGCGATATCTATGTCGTCTTCGTTTTCGCGAGAGTGCGAAGTAGAAGGAACGGTTAGAGTTCCGGTGGATATGCCGGGAGAGATTGTGTGCTTGCCTGCTCACCTGTTCGTAAGATCTAAGATCGATTTGATTGTCCCTCCAGTATTTGCGGCAGTTGTTGTGGCTGGCTCCGCTTGGGCCATTCGGGCCACGGGCTTGTGGGAGGACCATGAGACCCGCTGAGATGTGATGTCGTTTTAACAATGTGAATATTCTATCTTATTGTTTTTCCAATAAGATAAAATCCAAATACTTGTGGATATATGATTGATATATTTTATTTGTTTATTTTTTCAGTTTTTAGTGTTATATGATTCTAAGCAAAGAAATCATTAGGTATTTTTGTAATCATTTTAATTACAATTTAGGGATCAATTATTTTTATTTGACAATTAAAAGAGATTATTTTAGATAGAAGAACCAGCGAGTTTACGAAATCATATATTAGAGGTTTCAAGTTAGTTTTTAAAAATAGAAATTGTTAAGAATTAATTTGACTATAACTTAAGGACTAATTTATTTTTTATATATATATAAAAGAAATTTGGATATTTTTAAAATATTAGATCAAATAATTACAATTTAAATATTAAATTTAACTGAATTAGAATATTTTATCAGTTGCGATCATTTTTATAGATGGAAGAATAATCAAGAAATCCTTCAGTTAATTACCATATATATGGCACAATGCTACTTCATCCGTTCTTTTTATATAAAAATAATTAATTTTTCACTAAGATTAAATAAGTAGTTTAATCAATTTTTTTTTGTCATTTTTTTCTTAATTTATCCCTAATATCTCATTTATTCCTCCTATAATATCAATGTATATCTTAAATTATGTTCTAATATTCAATGAGGCTTTAAATGTTTTGTTGGAATGAAGGGAGCACAAAAAGTTGCAAAAATATGCTCTGACCTGTGGAAAGAAATTCGTTTTTTGTCATCTCTTTGGAAAAAATTATGTGAAAATATAAAAATTTGTGCTAATTTAACTTTCCAACTGCCTTTGGTTATTGAAAATATACTTTAAATATAGCGTAATTTTTTAAATATTCGGCGAAGTCCGTAAGAATTCTTTTCAATGTGGTCAACTTGAAAATTTTATGGTCATTTTCCATTCAAACTCCATTTTAATCGGTGCTCATATAACCTATACGAGCACTTTTTTTTTTTCAATGGAAATTGATGCAAATAAATTCATTCTCCAAAATTTATTCACATTAAATTCTCATATATACCTCATCTCACACTATCTTGAAAATCTCTCACACTAAAAACTTAATAAATGATTAAAATAAAGATAAAATAGACTTTTCACGTTAGTATGGTTCTAAAATTATTAAATTAGGTAGATTATTTTATATAAAAGAAAAAATAATGGAAATTTTTTATATAAAAAGTACGGAGCGAGAGTATAATATAAAAGTGTTTTTGGGAATTGGAACTTGGGAATGACAGACAGTATGCCATTCCTTACTAAGCTCGCGCCATATTGACATATCCAACAACACTAAATTTTAGTGGCTCATCTCTGCCAGACAAAGGCACCCCTTACAGAATAAATATATCTCGCAGTAAATAAATATTTGGTACCTAATTAGGGACTTGAACATTTAGAATATAGTACTAGTACGTTTTTTTAGGAGAAATATATATAAAAATGGGTACGAGTCTCTTTCAAGGCTTTGAAACAGAGTTAATGAGTTTGTCGCTGAAGTCCCATAATTGTGTAGCCAGTAATTGATGCCCAGCAAATGCACTTGGTTGTGCCTCATTACAGTCCACATAGTATTTTCCACTCACTCCTTTCAAACTTGGGTGAAGTGCCACATAACATGTAGTGGCTGCTCCCTGAAACCATTAAAAATTAAATGAATCTGAGATTATAAAATTATATACACCAGATCTAAGTATGTGTTTTGGTTAATTAAAGTTATGTGTTAGATGCTTATATTTTATTTGGCCTTGCTGTGAATCAAAAAGAAAAAAGAAAATATAATTGACTTTGAAAGTTAACCTGAGGTACATTCTTCCATAGCGGGTAGCTAAAGATCTTCAACAATCCTGAAAAAAAAAAAATATAAAATTGAGTACACTCTCTTTTAAACTACTCTCCCCAAAATTAACCCTTTGGACACTTACTCATTAAAAGTGCAGAATGTTTCATGAGGTTTGTCATGATTAAACCTGGATGGACTGCATTTGCTGTAATATTCACACCCTCTTCCTGCATAAAATGGAATAAAAATCAACAAAATTAGTATATATTATGAAATACCACTTGAGAATTCTTTAATCTTTTTCTAAATATGTATTTTTATGGTTAGACAAACTCGGCCAACTTATAAAAAAACTGGCACAATTATATGTATCCACTTTGAGAATTATAAAAAATTAGTCGATTCCATAAGTTCGCTTTTCAAATATCAAACTTATATCCTGTCTTTAAGAGAATTTCGAAATTAATTATTATCCGAATAAAGATATAGTTACTATATACAATTAATATTTAATATACCTGAAAGCGACGCGTAAGTTCTTTGGCGTGTAGTATATTTGCAAGCTTGGATTGACCGTAGGCTCTTTTATCAGAATACCTGTGGCAGGGAACCATACTAATCTATTTAATGATTTTGATGATTATAAAAAAAAAAAAAAAAAAAAAAAAAAAAACGTAGGCTCTTTTATCAAGAATTACCTGTGGCAGGGAACCATTACTAATCTATTAATGATTTTGATGATATAAAAAAAAAAAAAAAAAAAAAGAAAAAAAAAGCAAAAACGATGAATTCAAGACCCACTTGGAAAGCAATAAAATACCTTTCTCTTATTATTGATGTCATCAAATTTGAAATTCCACGTTTATAGGTGTGGATATGAGCTAATGGATGACAAATTTTACATCCTTACCCTCAATACCTGTGGTTAAAAAAAAAAAAAAAAAAAAAGAAAAAAAAAGCAAACGATAATATCAAGACCCACTTGAAAATAGCAATAAATACCTTCTCTTATTATTGATGTCATCAAATTGAATTCCACGTTTATAGGTGTGGATATGAGCTATGGATGACAAATTTACAATCCTACCCTCAATACCTGTGGTTCTTGCAGTTTCTTTCATTTTGTCCAAGACAAGATTTGTCAATAGGAAATGACCTGAAAATGAAACTATTATGATCAGTAACTACATATTATGTCGAATATCATTTGGACATGTTTAAGTTCACCTACCGATGTGATTTGTTGCAAACTGCATTTCTATTCCATCTTCTGATAGCTGATAGGGGCAGAACATAATCCCAGCATTGTTTCTGAAATTTCAAAATGGGCATCGATTGAGATTTTTTTGTGTTTTCTTCTACATTAGTATTTGAAATGACAAGTATTAATGTTTTGAAATATTTTGATGTGGGCCTTAACTTTTTTAGAATGCAATAATGAGAAACTAAATTGGAATCTAATTTGAAATACAAAAATGGTTTCAGGGTTTTGATTTAAATTTGGCTGAATATGGAATTTTGTTACTTTTAACCCTGTAGAATCTTTAACTTTTATTTTAATCCATCAAATATTTCAAAAATTACACGTATTAAACACTTCAAGTTAAAAACTCATTTTATTAAATACTACAACTTACAAAATTAGATCAATTACACCTATTAAATATTTTGAAAAATATAAAAATTATTGTTCCAAAAATTATACCGATTACATATTAAATTAATATTTTACATATAAAACCTAAAAATTACATATTAAATTAATATTTTACATATAAAACCTAAAAAACAGTTGTTATTAGTATAGAAATATGTGCAATATTACTAAAATTTACAAGTTGAAAGACGTGATAGGTCATTTCACAAAGCTTAGAGTATCAGTGTCAAAGCTAAAAAGTTCAAAGATGGATTTAAATATTTGGTTTTTAAATTTTAATTTTAAAAGTTTTGGCTTTTATATAGCAAAAATCAAGACAGACCAAGAAAAACCATGAATCATAAAATTAAATCAATGAAAACGAACCAATACTTTCAGTTTGGCATGTGTTCGGTTCCATCGGTTTCAATTCAGCCTAAATATAAAACACAAAAAGGTAATGAAAATTTCAAGTGCACAAGAAAGGATTAAAACTATTAATTTTTAGAGAATATAGATCAAAAAGTACACTAAGAAAATTTTTATGGAGTATTTGTAATTAATCCAAAAAAATAATCGTTAGAATAATAAAAATTGAGAGAAAGAGAGAGAGTTACATTAAGATGTTGAGTGGCAGATTAAGAGCAATGAACTTATCAGCAAATCCTCTGATAGACTTAATTGAGGCCAAATCCAATTTCAAAACATCAACACAGGCATCTTCATCTTCTTTAAGAATAAGTTGCTTTGCTTCATTTGCAGCTTCCATGTTCCTTGCTGCTATTATCACATGAGCTTTACGTAGAGCTAACACTCTTGCTGTCTCAAATCCAATACCACTAGCCCCACCTGAAACCCAACTTCCATTTTTATCTTTTGAATGAATTTAATCAGTAATACCTTCTTGGTTGTTGGAAAAATTAATGGCATTCAATAAAATTGCCTTAATTGGAATGCAATTAACCATTCGTTTCAAAAGCATTAATAGCATTTACTAATCACTGGAACGTTATGATCGGTAGTGCAATCTCAAGATCGCCTGAAAAATAAACTGTGTCCGCATGTTAAAGTTGTCTTGAGAATATCCATGACTACTTACACCAAACGACAAAGAATAGATTACGACAACAATCAAAACAGGAAAAAGCAATGGGAGATTTAGCTGTGAAGAAAATCAAGAAATTTAATGTAAATGATATTTATTTTAAAATTTTTAAATTAGAGAAAAGAGTTACATGTTATTAGCATTTCAAACATTCTCTCGACCAAGAATAGGATAAGTGTATACCAAGAATGTTCTTGTTCCAATTTTCATAAGACAAGTACGTACTCGACCATAGGAATAATTTAACTTGGTGTAATATTTGATGTTTCACGTATTATACTACTACAAAAAGTACATTAGAGGAAAATTCATTTTCAAGAAATGAAAAAGAGTAATAAATAAAAGATCAACATCTTCCTCTTTTTTTGGATTTTTGAAAGCAGATTAGCTAATCAAACAACTACTAAAATTTGATCTAAAATTCTAAAAACTATACATTAAACCAAAAACCAAAAGCCAAGACAAGAATTACACCATCAACTTTTTTTTTTTTGAAAAACAAAAACCCAAGAAAAATACTAAAAAAAAAAAAAAGAAAAAAACTTTAAAAGATTCATTATATTAATTGCCAGTACACTAATAATAATTCAAGAAAATACAAAATAAAATACCAGTAACAATAGCAGTAAGATTGGAAGCATCAATCCCTTGAGTAACCTGTTCAGCTGTAGAAGCTGATCCAAATCCACTAGGACCAGGCCTTCCTGTAACCGATGAAAAAATACTCATTTTCTTCAACAATCTCACACTTCTCCTTCTTCAAAATTCTAGAATATATACAATTAATGCAGAAGTATTATATTATTATCTTGCCAAGCTAATTATAAGTTGAGAACAAAAGAAGAACACAGAGAACAGATGCAGAAATGGAAGCAAATGCATGAAACTTTTATAGGTCGATGACAGGTAAAGATTCGGAAGGGTTAAACAGTAGATAGAGCAATAAATGGTCGTCGGTGAAGAGGTGTTAATAGTTTCAACGACCCCTTACCTATTCCATATATACCTTGAGGAAGAGTTATGGGTTTCAACTGTATTTTCTTTTTTTATTATTATTAGAGAGAAAAAAAATTGATTCGTAAATTATAGTCAAATTAATACATGAAAATCCTTATTTTTAAAAAATAACTATAAAGTTCTAAGCTATGATTTTGTTAATACCCTGATCCTTCCATCGAGGACGTAGCCAGAGGCTCTGGTCTGGTATGACCAATAATAGGATTAAACAAAAAAAAAAAAAAATAATATAGCAAAATTTAATAAATATAATTAATTAATCATTAAATGAAATGTTGGAGGCTGGGGTGGCCATGGCGCTTTAGGCTCCAACGGTATTCTATCTTCGGATCCATTCAAAATAGTTTCTTTTAATTGTCAATTTATTAAGAAATTGGTTCCTAAGTTATAGTCAGACTAAATATGAAAATCTTAATTTTAAACACTTTTTTTCCTTCTTTAATGATTTTTATTAACACTTTGATCCAATTTTGGACGGAAAACTGAAGAGCTAATAAAATTTTAATTTACAAACCACATAGTTAATTTTTAGAGAAATAAAGAAGCTCATGTGTTAATTTCATCATCATCATTATTATTATTATTATTTAATTTTCACATTTTAATTCTTTCAAAGTTTATTTTAATTTTTAGAGGAATTCTGGTAAGAGACTGTTGATAGGAAAGAGAACTTACATTGAACTTTACATTAAATAATATGCCATCTCACATTGCAAATCAAATGACTTTGTCTGAAGTTGGTGTCAACAGTTCGAATTGTCTGAGTCATGAATGTCAGCAAGACAGTGTCTAACGGAGATAGACAAAACTGATGAAGAAAAGTCATCTGGTCCATATGCCAGCAAATTTTAATCATCTGTCGATATTAAATCGATCCAAGTTGGAGTTTGTTGAGACGAGTAATAATTAAATAATTAAATATTACGTGACTTACATGTACCTGATCCAAGTTGTCTCTATCTATGTAACTCATAATGTTTTTTTTTCTTTCTATTTAGCCTTTTATTAAAAAGTAGCATCCAGTAAAAAAAAAAAAAAACTATCAATTACATATGAGTTAAAAAAAAAAAACTTTGATATGTATTAATATTATTATTCAATTTATATTTGGAAGAGGTTTTATTTATTAATGTTAATATTAGAGCCCGGCAACAACACGATATGTTATTTTTTATAACTTTCGACAATATAGCGTTTTAACTAGATTTTAAATGTTATAATTGCGCTTTATAAAATATTAATCCGTGTATTCTTTAACTTTTAGCATTTTATGAAAATTACCTAAATAATTAATTGTTATTCAAATAGCTACACGCTACTATAACAACTAATAACTATCAAAATAATTAATTTTTCTAAATAAACCCTAAATGTTTAAGTGTTGTTCCTCATTTTTCAAAGTTCTTAGCTTGAGAAATATCATTGTTTTTATTAACATGCAATCAGTTAAATAATTTAATTTTATGTGAAATCCTCTCCATATCGTAATGCTTAATATATTGATTAAGATCATGGACAATATTAATTAGGTATTAACTGTTAATTATTATAGCAGTTATAATTTATTTTAGTAGCTGTTAGTGTTATTATTTATATATATTAGTTTCTAACAAAAGTGTTGTTAAAATTTTTTTTTTGATTAACTGTTAAAAGTAAAATAATTTTAAAAAGTTCAATTTTAATTATTGTCAAATATTAAATGTTAACAGAAATAATGTTTCATAAAATATTTTCTCAACTTCTAAATTTTGTTGTAGATAGTATGTTACTGAATAGCGTAATTAATGGAGAGATTATTTTGACTCTAGTCAAAATGTTACATACTATGGTAAAAATTGTTTTTGGACAATCTTTAGAGTGGAGTAGGAAAAACACAAATAATAATAATAATGATAATTTGAGGGTAAAATGTAATCAATAAGGTATCGTGTGATAATATTAATTGTTATGGTAGTTAGAAGTTGTTCCAGTAGCTGTCAATTGTTTTACTAGCTTTTAGTTATTATATATTAATTATTAGTGATTAACTGTTTAGACGGTGGATTAAAGTAGAACTGTTTAATTAATTGTTAAATATAAAATAATCTCAAAGAATTTTTTTATTAGCAATATTAATTTTATTTTATTATTAAATGTCAGGAAAAAATTTATCAAATCTATAACTACCCTTACATCATAGTCCCTTTCATAAATCCAACCCAATGTTACAGAAAAAAAAAAAAAAATTTAAAAAGGCTAACCAGATTTGATAAGTGAAAAAAACTTGACTGAAATACTTCCAATACAAAGCAAAAACAGAAAAGTAGAAAAAAAATTCTCTAAGCCAAGAACTTAAAAGCTATCCTTTTCCATTCTAACCTTGAGACTGCAGTACCTCAACCAACCCAAAAACCGAAACAGCAGCAGCAGAAGTAACAGCTTGCAAAACTAAAATCCAAAATTTTTCAAAAAAAAAAAAAAAAAAAAAAAAGAAAAAAAAAAAAAAAAAATTTAAAAGGCTTAACCAGATTGATAAGTTGAAAAACTTGACTGAAATACTTCCAATACAAAGCAAAAACAGAAAAGTAGAAAAAAAAATTCTCTAAGCCAAGAACTTAAAAGCTATCCTTTTCCATTCTAAAACCTTGAGACTGCAGTACCTCAACCAACCCAAAACCGAAACAGACAGCAGCCAGAAGTAACAGCTTGCAAAAACTAAAATCCAAATTTTTTCAAAAAAAAAAAAAAAAAAAAAAAAAAACACCATATAAAAAATTAAATCCAAGCTAGCATTCCGATGATGCCTGAATCCACACTTTTCCTTGCTAAGCTATCAGCAAAAAAAAAAAAAAAAAAAAAAAAAAAAAAAAGAAGGTTGTAAATCGTCTAAGTATAATTATTCTTTAACCTTCATACTTCTAAATTTTATACACCTTAAATCATGGTTGTAAAATAATTGGTAAAATAAATTATTAAAATTGGTGCTTTGTATATATATATTTTTGAAAGTGGGTCTTTTATTTTGTATTTTTATAAATAAAAATATTTTTATAGTTCTAGCATTTCTAGGTTAATAATATATACACACATATTTAAGGATGACAACAATCAGGTATCCGCTTAATATTCACTACTCAAATTTGAACCCAAAGTCAATTACAAATTAAGTACTTAAATCTTTCCGAAGCTGTTTAGAAATTCTCTTTTATTATTTAAATCTGATGTAATTACCCTTTTAAATATCTGAACTCGTTTAATATTAAAATTATTATTATTTTTTTGAAAATAAAAAATAACAAAAAATTATAAAAATATATTATGACATAATAAAAATATAATGTTCAATAAAATATTAAATATAACTATAGAATTAATTATCATTAGAAAGATGTATACATATTTTCTCTTTTGAGAAAAATAATTATTTAAAAATTTTAAAACATTAATTAAATGAGTAACGGGTAGTGAGCACCTGTGTCATTAAACCCAAACCTGACCTCAATCCATTATGGATAGTAAACATACTATCCGAATTTATTCTGAAGCCATTTATTCACTACCTGAACTACTAAAATCGAGTCAGATCGGATTGCGTAAAATTTTCATCCCTATGTATACTAGCATTTAAGAACATGTGTTGCATGTTATTACTCGTTAAACGTACTTATGAGAATGACACTCATATATTAATTTTTATGCATAATATATAGACTCATATATTAATTTTTCTCTATAAAATTCCTAATCTAATTATCATAACATAATATTAATTAAGAGAAATATTAAATTAATCGTTATTGTAATATTAATTAAGAGAAATATTATATTCAATGTAAAAAACTATGTGATACAACGAAGATTACATCACATAATTGATTGAGATGTTTGGACGTGGTGGAGTGGTGGTGGTAGAGTGGTGATTATGGTTGCGATGGTGATAGTGGTGTTATTGTTGATAGTAGTTGTGTGCTAATTACATTATATATTTACAAACAAATATAATAAAAACAGAATGATGATTATATTTCATAAATTATTTTCAATTTCATAACTAAACATAGTAATAAAATGTTAATTATATTTTATTTTATACATTCATACCATTACATCATTTATTAGGTTACGTTGCATTATATTCAGTTAAACATAGTTAAAAAATAAAAATGCATGAATGTGCTTTGTATTGACAAATGCAGTAAAGTAAATAACTTGAAATGTAAAGAGTAGGGCTTTGAAAAATAAATTGCAAATTGAATTGAATTGAGGTATAGTATTGTTTGATTGTAAAAATTTTTGGGTTGCTAGGAGGTTTTTATCTGTGTCCGCAACTTTTCCTGTTATAGCTTTCATGAAAGGTTATGGATCATTTACTTTATTACAACATATTTTTTAAGACGGTTGAAAGTACACCAAATTTACATTATTATACGTTCTGAATATGGTTGACGAATGCAACACTTCCTTCTTGAGTCAATCTAACAAGTAGCCATTGGCTGTAACTCTCTCTCTCTCTCTCTCTCTCTCTCGCACGGATCATCATGGTTTGGTTTTAAATCGAAAATCAAACCGGTCAAAACTGGTATTAAACTATTTCAACGGTTTTGGTTTTAAAACTGTAATTGAAATTGTGAACTTAAGATATGGTTTTGATTCTTTATTTTTTAAAACCGAAATCGGTGATTCCGGTTTGAAACCGTGAAAAAACTCTCAACTTATTTTTTTTGAGTTTATTATAGTTTTTTAAAGTAATTTTTAAGAATTTTTATTAAATTGATTTAATTTTTTCAATAGTAATATTTATTATTATTATTAATTCAAGCTACATATCTTTTAAAAATATTTTAAAAGTTTAAAATATATTATTTAATTTAGGTTTAAAATCGAAAAAAAAACTAAAACCGACAATTTCATAACCGTCTAAAAGCGGTTTAGTTCTGATTTCATTTTTTTTATAA